TTTTGTCCATCAACAGTATCACGCTTTTGCTGGACCTCAAAGAGGTCTGCGAGCATGTGGACCATTCCCACCTTATCGAGGCTGCTGCTGTGCACTCCTTCTCGCCTGTGATTCTCCACCGCACTGTTTCGATGTACCAGCACTCCCGCTACACCTCTCTGCCCTAATGGCCCCGGAGAGAGTAGTGGTGGTGACTCCTGTCAAGGTGGAACCTGTATGCCGAGCTTTTCGGAGATGTTATAAGGGTGAGAGGAAGAGCAATTGCCTGGTCCTGCTGGGGCTAAGCAACAGACAAAACAACTAAGAGGCACAGTGGCGCAGGCAAGAAGACGCGGAAGCCAAAGCTCTATCGCAGCTCTTTGAACCACACACATGCCTGATTGTGTCGGGGCCTGAGTAGTTAACAAAACTATGTCCCTGTTCGAGTTGTAAATAAACCATGAACCCCAAACCCCTTTCGAGTTATAAAAGGTGTTGCACCAGGGTACGCTGGCTGTTGCCACAAGTCTGGCACGGATGTTGTGTGTGTGGGGGGGGGGGGGTGTAGGGTTTAGGATTTTTGGTTCGAGTTTAGTTTAGGGTTGGGAATTGTTGTCTTTGGGTCTAAACCCTACAGCCCTAGCTGCTTGCAGCTTGCTTCGGAAGATGTTGCTCGCAAACCTCAAGAATTATTAATGGTTTAGGGTACATGGGTTCTGGAGGTTTAGGTTTTGGCGGTTGAGGCTTTCGTGTTTGGGATGCAGGGTTGGTTTTAGGGAGCCACAAGCCTGAACCAAAACCAGCAGCACAACCCCATACCCTAAAGCTTATACAGGTTTAGGAGAGGGACCTTATTGAGAGGGTCTCTCTCCCCAACCGTTCCCCTAAACCTAACTCCCAAACTTACCTTGAACCCTAAACCCAAAACCCCAAACCCCAAAACCCCACTCCCAAAACCCTAAACCCTAAACCCTAAACCCTAAACCCTAAACCCTAAACCCTACACCCCAAACCCTCTAATGCTAACTCCCAATAGACTGAAGGCTTTCTGGCCCCCAAACCGAACCGAAACAGGGTTTAGGGTTTAGGGTTTAGAGTTTAGGGTTTAGGGTTTAGGGTTTAGGGTTTAGGGTTGAGGGTTGAGGGTTTAGGGTTTAGGGTTTCAGGTCATCATGTTCTTAGTCGTCTGCTGCGCGCAAGCCGGGTGGTCGTTGTACCTCCTGACCTTCACGAACCCGGAGGCGAGGACTCATACTGTTGATGATATAAATCCTGCATCACCTTAAGGACCCTAAAGTATGGGAATTCTGGTATGTTCCTTATTATGGGTAATGGGTTGGCTCAGCCCTAATATCAATCGTAATACCGGGGGCCGTAATAATTAATTAGAATAGGGCTTTTGGGGTCTAGTATACGTACTCGTACTATAATGATAATAAGGAACCCCCAAAACCCTATTCTCATCATCAAGGCCCCCTTCATTACACCCAAAACCCCGGACCCTAAACCATCTAAGAGTTTGGGGCTTAAGGCTTTACGGTGCTAGATGATCTTCCGTATCGACATGAGCTGTTCGAGTGATGGGTTCATGTGTTATCGGAGGACACTGCTTTAAACAGGTTTTTGGGGCTTAGGGTTTTAGGGTTTTTGGGCGGTTTAGGCTTGAGGTTTTATGGCGTTGGGGTTTAGAGATTTAGGGTTCGGAGGTCTGGGTTTTAGGGTCGAGGAGTTTCAGGTCTAGGACGCAAATCTTCTTTCTTCTGTGCTGACGCCACATCGTCGTGAAAGTGCTTCATCTCCCGGCACCTGCCAAGTACTGCGCGGTTCATATGCAGGCCTTGCACAACTACTTCATGTAGCAGCTTATACTAGCTTGCGATGTGCGCTAGAGGGTGCAGGGTTTCAGGGCCTGGGGTGTTGGGTGAGGGTGTTTGGGGTTTCAGGTTCCGGGGTCCCTCATTAGGATCAGCCCATGCCATGTCCAGTCCATTTTGGTCCGTGGTGTCCTTGAGTTTGCATGCTCCGGCGCCGCTTGTGCGGCCGCCCCCTCCGTGTTTCTCTGTGCCTCTCTCCCACTGCTGAGAATATTCAAACTAAACCCTACACCCCTAAACTCTAAACCCCTAGACCCTAAACCCCGAAACACCCTACACCCTCTTGTAGAAAGAGTGAGATGAGGATAGAGCCGAAACGCTGATCCTCCGGGCCAGGTGCTACTCTTCGTGCTTAGGGGCATAGGGTTAAGTCTAGGATTTAGGGTTTAGGGCTTAGGGCTTGGATTCGGTATGAAATGTCACCGTCGCTGTTAAAGCAGATAAAAAGTGAAGGGAGTGCTAGTACGAATCATCCTAAATCCATGCCCTAGCCCTTGGCGACTCTGCCAGCACACTCTCAATCCCTCGTTGAATTACTCAGGCTTCTAATATAGGGGTCTTATGGGTCTCAAAAATTCGACAAGCGGCTTGGTAGGTATATTATCCTACAACTATAAAAAGGAACCCCCCAAAAACCCTAAACCCTAAACCCCTATTCTAACTAGTAAGGCCCCTACATTATGGTACGGCTCAGAGGCTTGATATTTTTTGGGGGTAAGGTTTAGGGTTTAGGGTTTAGGGGGGTAAGGTCGGCAGCATGACCATCAACAGGAGTGTTTTGAGCTGGGTTCTGGAGTGCCATACTTGAATTAGGGTTTAGGGTTTAGGGTTTAGGGTTTAGGGTTTAGGGTTTAGGGTTTAGGGGTTTAGGGCTGTTCCTGAAGGGAACCTTTATGAAATTAAAGTCCATACTATTGTCTCCCTGGTTACTTCAAAGTCTAGGGAGGGAGGGTGGGCTAAAGAGAAGGTCCCAGCCCTAAACCTGGGGGGTGGGGGGTTGGGGTATATGGGATGCCCTGAACCCTAAACCCTACACCTTAAACTACCTGTATCAGCTTCGTCCTGAACCGCCTTTCAGGAGCGTTAGGGGTCTCATGCTCCCAGTTGTTAGCTTCTTCTGCACCCTCAGGAGAACTGGGCGGACTACAACAGCCAAATGGGCTACCCGGCTTGAAAAGCCTGCAGTTGGGTTCAGGGTTTAGGGGCTACCCGGCTTGAAAGGCGTGTGTTTGGAAGTTTGGACAGGGCAGTGGTGTGAACTCGAGACCTTAAACCCTAAACCGTTTAGGGTTTAGGGTTTAGGGTATCTATTCGGGTTGATCCATGGACGACTTGTGGCAAAAGGATCCCACACCCAAAACCCGATTGGCCCTGAACCCCCCAAAACCCTAAACTCTAAACCATATCAACCCTATAGCGGTGCCTAGAAGCCCTAAGCCCTATCAACCCTAGAAACCCTAAACCCCCTAAACCCCAAACCCCTAAACCCTATAAACTCTACCGGACACGAAAAAGAGTCGACCCCAGCCGTAAAAAAAACAGAAAAGCTATAAGCCCCATAAGAGTAGGAAAACGGGTACAGTAGACTGATTGTGTAGTAAGCTTATGAAGGGCATCCAGAGAGTCTGCATCCTACAGGTTTTTGACGGTACATGTATCGATGCGTTGAAGAAGTGCTGCCTGGCTTCTTGGGATGTCCAGGGTAGTAAACAGTTGAAGCCGCCTAAACCCCAAACCGTTCACAAGCGACCGTCGTAACCCAGTGTCGCCTCCGGTTATGTGTTCAGGGCTTGAACTGTGCTTGTGCTTCAGGGTTTCAGGGCTTTGGCTCTAGCCCAAGAAGTATAAGGCTTAAGCTCCGGAATCCTGAAACCCTGAAACCTAAAACTCTCACCCCTAAAACCCTCAACCCTAAAACCCTGACGAGCCCCGATCCTATCTTTCAATGGACTGCACCTTGGGAGTTCCAATTTGAATCCTTAGGCTTTTTGTAGCCCCAAGCCTTTCAACTCTAGGGTTCTGGGGTTTAGGGTTTAGGGTTTAGGGTTTAGGGTTTAGGGTTTAGGGTTTCGGGTTTAGGGTAGGATCTTAGAAGGGCTGCTTAGGATCTTGGGGCTGTAGGGCTTCAGGATCTTAGGGCTTTACGGATTTTGTGATTTAGGGCCTTTGGGCTTTACGGGTTTAGGGCTTTAGGGTTGTAGGGTTGTAGGGTTTAGGGTTTTAGGGTTTAGGGTTTTAGGGTTGTAGGGTTGTAGGGTTTAGGGTTTTAGGGTTTAGGGTTTTAGGGTTTCGGGTTTTAGGGGTTACGGGTTTAGCACTATTTAAATTTAGTCAGGCTCTAAGCCATCAACCCTGCAACACTCAAGGTCTAAGCCGCAACAACCCTTACACCTTCAAGCTCTAAGCCATCAACCCCTCAAGCTCTAAACCCGAACCCCTAAACCCTAAACCCTAAACCCTAAACCCTAAACCCTAAACCACAGAAACCTGAAGCATCACACCATAAGTTCCATTCCTTATGTCCCCGGGTTTAGGGTCTAGGATTTAGACTTTAGGGTTTAGGGATTAGAGTTTAGGGTTTAGAGTTTAGGGTTTAGGAGTTAGAGTTTAGGGTGTAGGGTTTAGGGATTAGGGCTTAGGGTTTAGAGTTTAGGGTTTAGGGCTGAGGGTTTAGGGTTTCTATTCTAGGGTTTAAGGTTTAGAGTTTAGGGTTCAGGGCTGAGGGTTTAGAGTTTAGGTTCTAGGGTCTATAGGGTTTCGGGTTTCGGGTTTAGAGTTTAGGTTCTACTTTAAGAACCCAAAACCCACCTTTTTGTAGGTTCTTATTATAAACCCTATTTTGGGGTTTATATGGACCCTACAAAAAAGTAGGTTTTGGGTTCTTAAGGTAGGGTTTTAGGGTTTAGGTTCTAAACCCTAAACCCTAAACCCTAAACCCTCAAGCCATTTTGGCTCAAGGCCTCCGTGTCGCTGCTAAAAGCCCTGTGTAGTGTGCGACGGGAGGTGAGTGGCCTTGCAGTGTGCCGTGCCATTGGGGGGAGGACCCAGGCGACGCTGCTCTTGTTCCCCTTGGAGTTGGCGGGTCAGGTACCTCGGCGGCGTGCTCGATTACGCGATTGTCAGGCTCGCCGTCTCCGGTTGCCAAGAGGGGGCAGCCGATGGAGGACTCGTCGCCCAGCAAAAGGCCGGCCCACTCCAAGGTGGTGGCGGTGGATATGGGAGAGCTCCAGCGGCTCCTGCACGAACAGGGGGAGAAGATCATGAAAGCACAACATGAGCACTTGGAAGCCCGTATGGGAGCCCTGGAGGAGCTGACCGGCAAAAGGATGACGGCTGCGGAAGGCCGCCTGGGGGGTGTCGAAGGGAAGGTCGAGGCTTTGGAGCAGAAGTTGGAAGACCTTGTCAAGAAGATCGATTCTGGAGCCGCGGCGAGCCGACAGGGACCAGCTGAGACGGACAGGTGTCTCACGTTGGTGTATGGGGGCTGGCAACGTGATACACGAAGGGGAGAGTTGCTGAATGGTCTCAACAAGTGTCTCAGGGAGTTAGAACTTGATGCCCTGGTGGACTACCCTCCATTTTGTACGGGACCCCGCAGGAGTACGGCATTGTCAGTGTTCAAAGTAAGGGATGGTGAGTCCGAATACCAGGTGAAGCGCCGCATGCATCACATCATCATTGCCCTGAGGGAGAATGAGGTCCGGCTGCCGGGAGGGAAGCGCATGTATGCCATGTACTCGAAGAGCAAAGAGGAGCGAGAGATTGCCAGCATGCTGCGTGGATCAAACGGGCGGTCAGGCAAGCTGCCCCGCTCACCGTGGACATGCTGGACCTGGAGTACTCCTCGGGTGGAGTGTGGTGTGGAGCCTCCTTCGTAGCCAGTGCTAAACAGCCGGTCCCTCCGGAGGTTGACGATGAGGATGTCATGTGGGGCTTGGGATCGGCATGGGTCCTGCCAGGGCAGCTGGCCAGGGAACTTGGGATCTCCGTGGGTGCGCTCAAGGGAGGCCTTCAGGCCACCCGCAACTGATCCCAAACGGCGCCGCCGGGCGAGGCGGTGGTGGAACAAGGCGAAGCTGTTTTCCTGGAATGTCGGGGGAGTGATGGTTGCTGACTACTACCAGGCAGTCCGGGATGTGGTGGAAGAGCTCCCTGGGGCTCTTTTGTGCCTTCAGGAAGTACCGCGCGGAGAAGCCGGGTGGCAACATTCGGAAGCTTCGGGGTGGAGGTGTCTCACACATCGGCAACCTGATCATGCGGAAAAGATCGGCGGGCAGAGGGTCCTGGTTTCGCCTGAGACATGTCCACGGCCAGGAGATTTGGGTAGGGGTGGCGCACTTCACGCCGGGGTCCACACAGCCGCAACATGCTGCTGAGGTCAACGAGTTCCTTCAAGGGTTGCCGAGCACGCACCTACCTGTTATGGTTGGGTGTGACGTCAATGCGCAAGTTGACTGGGTAGGAGGCGAGCTTGACTCGGCACTTGCGGTAGGCCTCAATGGAAAGACGGCGGAGTTTCTCTCGGCTGCGCAGGAGAGGGCGATGGCGCCGATACCGCCACTGGTTGGGCAAAGGGGACTGCCGACCAGTCGGCCCCGGCAAGCAGGGAGGGAAGGGAAACATATTGATGTTGTGCTCTCGGCTAGAATACGGACGGGAGAGGTACATGTCCATGTTGACACTCACCAGACGATAGGGACTGACCATGAGCTCCTCTCAGTGGCCTTCCACTTCAGGTATATCAGGAAAATGAAACCATATACGACGTGTCCGAGGGTGTGGACCGGTGGGATTCAGGTCATCCAGGAAGTGACACAGGACAGCCTGCGTGAGCTAGCCCAGACTTGCACTAGACCGAGAACTGGTAGGAGCTACCAGGACCCCCCAGAAGTCACAGAAGCTTTCAGGGCAGCAAGGCGCGAGGGCACAGCAATGTCGTGGACGACGGCGAGAAACATGAGGAAGCAGTCGAGGCAGCGATGGGAGCAGGACCGGTTGCATAGGGCTACCCAAAAGGACTGGGCTGCAGCCAAGGACCTACGGCGCAATTCGACTCAGGGATGGGACATAGGCTTCACGAGGCCCAGGGAGACAGGACGGGAGAGATCATTCCACCTCTCCCGGCTTGGGAGGGGACCTTCCACCCTTTTACGACGGCAGTGGGGACGGATGGAACCAGTCATGAACTCATGTTAGGGATTGCTGCGACGCCGGGAGGCAAAGGGGCGCTGCTGGGATTCTACAATGGCATCTTCGAGTCGGCGTCCCCCCTAAGATGGTTGATCCACGGGAAGCTAAATCCCTCCGGCCGATAGCCATGGGGTCCAGTGCGGCTAAGGTGTTCAATCGGATGCTGTTGGCCAGAACACTCCCCTACATAGGACATCGAGGACCCTCGCAGTGCTCAGGGGTTGGGAGACAAACCAGTGAATATGTCTTCAGCATTGCCCGCATTATGGAGCTCGAGGCTGAATGGCATAGAGGAGTGGTTGCAGCCAAGATTGACATCACCAAGGCCTATGACATGGTCAACAGGCCACGGTTGCTTCAGAAGCTCCTAGGGGCCCTCGGGGATGGACCTGTCTACCGATGTTGGCAGGCACTTCTTTCGGACACGTGCGCCTGCCGCTGCAATTAGACCGAGGGATTCGCCAAGGGTCTGTAGAATCCCCGGCTGTGTTTAGCTTCTTGGCAGGGGCCATCCTCATGGACACACAGCGAAAGCACTCCTGGGCTGATCGGGACCAGGTGTTTCCATCTCTTTGCCTGGAGGAGCTACTTTTCATGGACGATGGCGTGCTTTGGTCAGGGTCGGCTGTAGGATTGTCGCGTAAGCTGGAGGAGTGGACAGCAGAACTCCGAGAGTACGGCCCGAGCCTGAATGCTGCAAAGTGCAAAGTTTACTTCTCTCCCTATGCCAAGGGTTCCAGGATCGTGAAGGTCCAAGGCATCCTGATCCCGGAAGTCGCGAAGTTGGAAGTGATGGGCATCCCCTTCAGGGTCGGGGCCCCTCCAGCGGAATTGCTGGCTCCTTTGATTTCCCGGGCCAAGGACAAATTTTGGAGCATCAAACATCTGCTACGAGCACGGACGCCGCTTGCAGGCAGAGTCATCTTCTTGGATAGGGTTATCGGAGGGACAGTTCTCTGGTGTTTGTCGGCACTGGCACCAGATTCCAACAGCATGCTGCTGCTCAACTCACTAGAATTGCAGTGTGTGGTCTCGTGCATGAGGGTCGGGATACAAACAGCGGGCCTTTCGTGGTGCCCGCCAGGTGGTATGGACGTACTTAAAAAAGCGCTGGTCTACATGCTGGCTGGAACGCTGGTGGAACTTCTCGGGACACAGGGCGAGAGGAAGGGACAGGGTGGTGCCAGGGGCAGCAACCATCATTGACGGGTACAGGGACAGGCAGTGGTGGCTGAGGGAACAAGCCAAGAAATCTCGGGGGGTTAAGCACCCACGCCACTATCCAAAACTCTCTAACATGGAGAAGGACATGGATTGGGCGGTAGAGGACAGGCCGTGGAGAGAGGTTGCCAGAGATCGAAACCTCTGGAAACAAAGTTTGCCCAGATGGTTGAGTTTGGCCGATGTACCGTGGACCGGAGGAAGACAGACATGTATCAGGGGTTAGAGCTGTGGTCTGTGTGAGGCGAACGACGTCGACGACTGAGTGCCTCCCGCAGCACATCGGCTGTAACTCCAACAGCGTGCAAACCTTCGTGCCATGGTGTCTTCGATGCTGTGGTGGCTTTTGTGCGGCGCCTTCGGTGCTGTGTGTACCTCTCCCCAAGGGACGGGTACAGTCCATGATGTATGGTTTTCTACTTCCCGCAATTCGACTTCGGCGCCGCCCCTCCTGAACAAGACGGTCCTCGCTGGTGACCAAGGGGTGGGTGCCCACGCGTGCCCGACAGTGGACAGGAACGCCCGACAGATGGAGATGATGAACCCCTCGCAGCCTGAGACGACGGCATCATGGAATACCGCGGCTACCTCACCAGGCGACTATGAGGGGTGTACCCCTCTTGGGAAGATGGAGGTGTGTGCCGTGGCCACCGACATCGTGGAAACCAATAATGAAAGGGAATGAGTGGATGTTGGCACGTGAAGAGGGGTGGAGTGCTTTGGCATGCTCAACTACACGGAGTTCTTCGGATGAGGTGTGGCTGATGCAAGGGCTGGAAAGTCGAATGAACGATGTCGCAGGGTTGCTGAGCCGCTTCCGAGCACAACTTGAGGGGTTGGGAAAAGAAGAGAGGGCCAGTGCAGCTGGAGGGCTACTTCGGCTCTTGGACTGGCGTGCCACGAACAGCCTGAATGGTTACCTCTTGGGCGAGCGGGTGTCGAGCCTAACCGCCTTACTGGTTGCAGCGATTGACGGACGAGATGACCCAGAAGTGACTGAGGTGCCGACGGCACTGCTGGACCTGTGGGAACAGTGGACCCAGCTTGCTCCGGTGCATCCGGGCTCGAAGCGGGCCCAGGGTGGCAGATTGCCGAGGGCCCTGCCGTGTATCATGTTGTTCCCCACAAATTCCCGTCCAGGACACCGCAGTCCTCGCCGGAGGCAGTGGAGCACGGCTGCAAGAAGCGCCGCAGCACCAAGCACAGTCTCCGAGTGGAGCTGAGCTCAGGATCAGCGGAAGCTCCCACCAAAAGGACCCACTTAGAGGAATGGAGGTCAGCGGAGGAGGACTCAGACACGGAAGAGGCAGACGAGGCGAATCTCCTCACCACCTACAGGGCCGTGAAGTTCTACGTTGGGAGCATGGCGCAGACGGAGGCTATGGATAACGGGGATGCGGTTATCCAGATGGTGAGAGACCAGCTCAGCCGTCTTCGTAGAGAAGGGTGGACAACTAAGCAAATCTCGAGCGCCATGTATGTTCTCTTCCAGCGTCTGGGAAGCAGGGAGTATATGGAGGAGCTGCCCTACCTGTTCAGCCAGATGGACTTGTGTGTGGATGTTGACCTCTTTTCCGTCTAGCCTCCAGCCGGCGCCGCTTGTGCTGGAGTGGTTGGAGGTTGAAATTTGGGCTGGCTTTGTCAACGAGTTGGAGAGCAGAGCTGGAGCCGAGACGGTGGTGGTGACCAATCATCGTGATGACCCGGGAATGAGCGAAGAGCAGCGAAGGGAATGGAGAGATTGGGCGACCACGTCATCGCGAAGGAGGGACACGCCGCGCAGCCGGTCTTCCAGACGACAACATGATGTGACCAACCTCATGGAACGGGATCGCCGTGTAAGCAGGACAACGAGGTCTACCGGTAGGGATGGGCGCCCTGGAGATGCAGATGCGGGAGCAGGGGCTCGCCGAGAGGACTCACGTGGACGAGCCGGTGGTGATCGCCCTCGTGGTCGCAGGCTGTCAACTGAGGATGAGGGCTCAACCAGACCAGCCAGGTCTCGGACAGGACCACGATGCACAGAAGAAGTGGTGCGCCTTGGCCACGGGACTCGGTGGTCGGCGCCAGCTTCGTCCTCGAGTCCACCTACGGCGCCGTCGTTAACACCGGATCAGGCCTTGCTTGCATGGCTACGGTTGCTTGGTTTTCGGCAAGGGGCTGAGACGCATACGGAGCCGGTCCTCAACAACGACCCTGAAGCACTGCGTGACCGAAGCCGATTCATCCAGAGCATCCGCACCAGGGACTTGGGCGTCACACAAGCAGCTTTGTGGAGGGCAATGGCTATGCTCTTCATTGAGTGTGGCCAAATGCTCTTGGAGCACCCCAATTTGGCCCAGTCTGACGATGTCATGGTGGAGGTGGAGCCGGAGTCGGATGAAACTTACTATATGCAGACCTCGGCGATGCGTAAAGTCACGAGCTGGGGAGTTTGGCTGGCTGGACTACGAAGGGAGCTGGAAGGCATGTCGGCAGAACTACGGGCCCAGTGTTCAGCTGCACTGTGGCAGTGGGTGCAGCAAGGCAGCAATGTACTTCTACCTGACTTCCAGGATCAGCTTCTGCATGTGCTACGTGATCGCTCGCCGAACTACTTGCCGGACTCAGGGAGTAATGCATGGGTGCAGGTGGTGGCGACGGAGCTCAGAGCATTCCCCGTCTTCGACGTGGCTGCTGACAGTGACTTGGAGCTGTTGGCTGCATGAGGCCGAGCATGCGAACCTGTGCCATGGGAACAAGCAGAAGGTGAACGACAACAGGCACAGAGGGAACGTGAAGAAGCGGCACAGGAGCAAGAAGACCGTCTCCTTTTCCAGGCGCATGAGGTGCGGTCTACCGTGACTGGGAGGAATGGGCTGTCCTTCATCATGAAGGACCAGTATTCAAACGACGCAGGGTGCAGGTGGAGGTGACGCAGGGAACGCAGAAGAGACAGTTGGCGCGTCGCCTGCCGATGACCCAGAACGTGGATGTCCAGGTGTCGTTCAGAGTGCAGACAGTGGAGGGTGAGGCACAGGATGACTCCCAGCAGGAACAGACGGTTCAGCGGCTCTATTGGACTGTGGAAGCAGGGAGCTCTGAAGGATGAAGAGGTGGTCACGTTGCAGGGGGAGGAGATCTTCGTCATGTTCCTTGCGCAGCGCATGAGCGAGGAAGATGAAGTCCAGGAGGGTCAAGCTGATGGAGAAGAGGTGGCGGAGGGAGAGGCCGAGACAGGGACGGCGCAGGGGACGGGGTTGACGCCTATCGGTGCGAGTGCTGATGCTCCAGAAGTGGATGAAGTTGAGGGTTTGGGTGAGGGTCCCTTGGCTCCGTGGAGAACGCCGTCGTCTATGTCGGGATCGAGTGAGTGAGGTCGTTTAGGTGTGTCCGCAATATGGGCTAGCCGAACTCGCCTGCCTACTATGCCTTCCTTGAGGCTGACGTTGCAGAGAGGAAAAGAGGCGCTTAAAAAAAAACAAACTAAACCCTAAAACCTAAACCGGGAGGGTTTTAAGGTTTAGGGCGGAGGGTTTTAGGGTTTGGGGACCCCGAGGTCGATTCCAGGCAGCTGGTTTGGTCACCTCCATGGCGGCCATCTACAACCTGAACACGGTAGAGCCTCGATTTTTTTGCAGTTTAGGGTTTAGGGTAAAGGGTTGGTAGAGCCTCGTTTTTGTTTTAAGGTTTAGGGTTTAGGGTTTGTAGAGCTTCGTTTTTTTTTTGCAGTTTAGGGTTTAGGGTTTAGGGTTTGTACAGCCTCGTTGTTTTTTGCAGTTTAGGGTTTAGGGTTTGTAAAGCCTCGTTTTTTGCAGTTTAGGGTTTAGGGTTTGTAGAGCCTCCTTGTTTTACAGTTTTGCGGGGCGTGCGTGAAAGAAGGGTAGTACTGTCAAGCCTTGTGGAGACGGGTTTCTGGGTCTTGCGTGTCAGAGCTTAGGAAGCCCTGAACCTCAAACCCACCCCATTTCAACTATTGTTTCGTGTAGGGCATGAGGGTTTAGGGTTCGGGGTTACGGGTAAAGGGCCCACAGCTAGAAGGGATGGGTTCAGGGTTTAGGGTTGGACTACCGGGCTCTTTTTGGGATGTCGGTGTTGGGCTTCAGCAAGGAGGCCTCAATTCGGGCATTTATAGATTCATTAAATACAGGCACCCTAAGATGCACATCTTTACTTATAAATCCTTCAGAAAAGACTGGTTCCTTCGCTTTGGACGTCTGGTATGCGTCGAAGCCGAAGCCTTCAAAAATCAGGTCCTGTACCACAGGCCTAAAGCAACCTGCATCCGAAGCGTTTAAACTCCCCTCCCACCCTTCTCCCAACTTGCGCCCCAAACCCCTACACCCCAACAAGCCCTGAGTGTATCGACCTCGAAAGAACCCTGCCCCTACGGACCTTAACCCCCAAAGGCCTATAAGCCCTAAACCCTTACTCCAAAGCCCAAGCCCTAACCCCTAGACCTCAAACATAGCCCGAAGCCCCAAACCCGAACCCCAAGCCTCTAAACATCGAAACCTTAAACTCTGCACCGCAACCCCCAAACCCTCAACCTAGGTGGCACTTTGGGAAACCTTCAGATTCCATTCATGGTTCTTACAGAGGTACTTTCTCATACATACTTTTAAGAGCCCCAAAAAACTACAACCCAAAAACTCCTAGACTAGCCATAAGACTCCATAGTAGACAAGCCCCCGCCTGGGAAGCCAAAGGAGATGGAATTCCATGCTTTCTTCGAAGGCCCTCGTGTGGCGACTGCCGTTTTTTGAGTTCAGGGTCTAGGGGTTTAGGGGTTTAGGAGTTTAGGGGTTTAGGGGTTTAGGGTTTAAGAGTTTAGGGTTTTAGGGTTTAGGGTTTAGGATTTAGGATCTCCATCTGAAGCTTTCACAACCGTAAGCGCTCAACCCTAACAGCCCGTGTTGGGCTCAGGATCTAGGAATTGGAGATTGCGACTCATGGTGTAACAAAGGGGCCGAAATCATTACCTATGCTATTTCGGGGGCTCTTTA